GGGGGGGGGGGGGGGGGGGGCAAGAAGACCCAGAGAGAGGGGGACAGAGACCCAGAGAGGGGAAACAGATTCAGAAAGAAAAAAACAGACACAGAAGCAGGGGGTAGGGGATGGGGACACAGACCCAGAGAGAGGGGAACAGAGACCAGAGATAAGGGGACAGAGACCCATACAGAGGGGGATAGAGACCCAGAGAGACGGGGACAGAGATCCAAAGAGAGAGAGAGAGAGAGAAAGACCCAAAGAGAAGTGGGGGATGAAGACCCAGAGAGAGGGGACAGAGACCCAGAGAGGGGAACAGACCCAGACAAAGAAGACAGAGACGCAGAGAAAAGGCACAGAGACCCAGACAGAGGGGGACAGAGACCCAGAGAGAGAAGGGAACAGAGACACAGAGAGAGGGGGACAGAGACCCAGAGAGCAAAGAAACAGACACTGAAACAGGATACGACGGGGAGAGGGACAGAGGGGGGACACAGACTCAGAGACGGGGGACAGAGACCCAGAGATAAGGGGGACAGAGACCTAGAGAGAGCAAGAACAGACATGGAGATGGGGGACAGGGAATCAGAGGGGGGTGGACAGAGACCCAGGCAGTGATGGAGACCCTGGTTGAGAAAGTGACAGTTCCCTGATAGGAGGAGAGATATCGGGAGAATGTGAAGCAGATGGCGTTGGGTCCTGTCTTGCACTATGACGTCTTTAGGAGGTCAAAGGATGCCCCGAGAAGGTGCCACTGGCGCTGCTTTTTGGAAGATCACACAGTGAATTTTTTTTTCTTTTTGAGTCAAAGTCTCACTCTGTCGCCCAGGCTGGAGTGTAGTGGCAAGCTCACAGCCACTGCAGCCTCTACCTGCTGGGCTCAGGTCACACAGTAAATCAAAGATTGATAGGACAGATCTTTTGACCCCCGCTCAGGACCTATCTCACTGCAGATTTCACAGACCACCGTGAGGGTCCATGTTGCTAAGGCTCCTTCCTGTAGCTCCTGTCTTGTTGTCATTCTTCTTATTATTATTATTAGAGACAGGGTTTCACTATGTTGCCCAGCCTGGAGTACAGTGGCTATGCACAGGCACAATCATAGTGTACCACAAACCTCATCACCTCAAGCCATCTTCCTGCCACAGCCTCCTGATTAGCTGGGACAACACACCCACGCCACTATGCCAGTTATTATTACTATTTTTTTAAGTCATAGTCTCACTCTGTTGCCCAGGCTAGAGTGCAGTGGCACGCTCACGGCCACCCCAGCGTTGACCTGCTGGGCTCCCACAATCCTTCCACCTCAGCCTTCTTTTTCTTTTTTTTTCTTTTTTTTTGAGTTGGAGTCTCACTCTGTTGCCCAGACTGGAGTGCAGTGGCCGCTTCCGGCCACCGCAGCCTCGACCTGCTGGGCTCCGGCGATCCTTCCGCCTCAGCCTTCCGAGTAGCCGGAATTACAGACATGCGCTACTACACCCAGCTGATTTTTTGATTTATTGTAGAGATGAGGTCTCGCTGCCCAGGCGGGTCTTGAACCCGCGGGCTCAGGCAATCCACTCACCCCAGCCTCCCAAAGGCGCGGGATTACAGGCTGAGCCACCAAGTCTGGCTTCTCAGCCTTCTAAGTAGCTGGAACTACAGGCACATGCTGCCAGGCCTAACTAAATTTTTTATTTATTGTAGAAATAAGGTCTCACCAAGTTGCTCAAGATGGTCTCAAACCCCTGGGCTCAGGCAATCCTCTCATCTTGGCCTCCCAAAGTGCTGGGATTATAGGCCTGAGGCACCGTGCCCGGCCATGCCCATTATTTTTTACAGTGCTGACACTAGTCACTGTGCTTGGCTTATCATTCATATCAAGTTGTTGGTCTTTCCTCATTGCCATCAAAGCGAAGTATCATTAATCCCATTTTATGGGAAAGAGGGCAGGTACCAAGGGAGTATTGGATTGCCGACAGTTGTCCAGCATGTGAGTGGCCAAGGAGGGATTTGTCCCCAGGACTCTAGTTCCCCCATCATACCATCCACTTTCCAGTCAATGCTGACGTCCTCTGCCTTCTCCACTTCCTTCTTCTGCTCGCAATGAAGCTAAAACTCTCATCCAAGGACCCCAGCTGCTCTCTCCATTTTTTTCTTTTCTTTTTTTTTTTGAGTTGGAGTCTTGCTGTCACCCAGACTGGAGTGCAGTGGCACTCTCATGGCCACCACAACCTCCATCTGCTGGGCTCAACCTTCCAAGTAGCTGGAACCACAGACATGTGCCACCATGCCCGGCTAATTTTTTTAATTTACTGTAGCAGCGAGGTCTTGCCATGTTGCTCAGGCTGATCTCAGGCAATCCTCTTGTCTCTACCTCCCAAAATGCAAGATTACAGGCGTGAGCAGCCACACCTGGCCTGCTTCATTCAAATAATTTATGGTCATATTTTAAGTCATTGTATTTTGTGGGATTTATAGATGGCCTTTATCAGAATTAGGAAATTTCCTTCTCTTCCTAGTTTGAGTGTTTTTTTCTTTCCTATTATGAGAGGATGCTGTATTTTGTCAAGTATTTTTCTCTGTTGACATGATCATCTGATATTTCCCCTTTAGTTTATTAATACGGCATGTAACACTGATTGATTTTAGGATGTTGAGCCAACCTTGCACTCTTGGGATCATTCCCACTTGATCATGGTGTACAATCCATTTTACATGCTGCTGGATTTGGTTTGCTAGTATTTTGTTGAGAATTTTTGCAACTGAATTCATAAAGGATACTGGTATGTTGTCATTGTCTTCATCTCCTCTTCCTCCTTCTCCTCCTCCTTTTTCTTCTCAGAGTGGGTCTTGCTCTGTCATCCAGGTTGAAGTGCAGTGGTGTGATCATAGCTGACTGCAGCCTCAATCTCCTGGGCTCAAGTGATTCTCCCACTTTTGCCTCTTGAGTAGCTGGGACTACAGGCATGTGACATCACACATGGCTAATTTTAAAAATTTTTTGTAGAGACAGGGTCTCATTATGTTGCCCAGGTTAGTCTTGAAGTCCTGGCCTCAAGTGATCTCCCTACCTTGGCCTCTCAAAGGACTGGGATTACAGACAAGAGCCACCACGCCCAGCTCTGGAGTTTTCTTTTTCTATTTTTTTTTTTTTTTGAATCAGAGTCTCACTTTGTCACCCAGACTGGAGTGCAGTGGCATGCTCATGGCCACTGCAGCCTCTACTTGCTGGGCTCAGGCAATCCTTCTGCTTCAGCTTTCCAAGTAGCTGGAACCACAGGAACGTGATACTTGATTTATTGTAGAGATGAGGTCTCGCCATGTTGCCCAGGCTGGTCTCGAGCCCACGGGCTCAGGCAATCCTCTCAACTCCACCTCCCAAAGTGCTACGATTACAGGTGTGAGCCACCACTCCTGGCCTGAGTTTCTTATCTTCATCAGGCTAACTAAAGATTTGTCAATTTTGTTGATCATTTCAATAAACCTATGTGGTTTTGTTGTTTTTATTTTTTGTTTTTTGTTTTTGAGTTGGAGTCTCATTCTGTTGCCCAGACCGGAGTGCAGTGGCTGCTCCCGGCCACTGTAGCCTCAACCTGCTGGGCTCTGGCGATCCTTCCGCCTCAGCCTTTCAAGTAGCTGGAACTACAGGCGTGCGCTACCACGCCCA